CCCGAATGGTGAGGAAAAGGCAGCTGGTGGACCTCTCTCGCCCCTTTCTGCAGCCATTGGAGGGACTGGGAAAGGCGACTAGGTCTCCAAGCGGCTCGTTTTTCTCAGAGAGCGGGCACCCTTCGCTTCCTCGCCGGACTTCTTTAAACAACTGCATGCCAAGCGGGAATTTAACAGGTCCACCGTTGCCGAGCAGGGAGGGAGATTGAATGGTGCCACCACCTGCTGAAAATCTGCTATGTATTTAAGGGACGGGGGACTTGGCAGAAAGAAGAGGTGGCAGTCTTGTTCCCGCCCCAACAAGAAGCAACGGGGTTGGACGAATTCTGGTTTCTTTACTCCTTTAACAATTCCCACAAATAGTACTTGTTCAGACTTGGCAGATCATACAGGGAGAGGCACCAGAACATCCTGCAAGTCACATACAGCCACAACAGCTCCTGTGCCATTCAAAGCTATTTTATCACACACCTAGCAGTAGTACTTTCCAACAAATAACTGTGGATATCCAACAAAGCCAAGCCAAACAGCCTACGGGGGAAGCACTGATGGGTCAATGGCCATTTCCAATAGTACAACCAGCTAACCCTTTTAAGTCCAAACAATATACATGTGTAGGATGATATGAGACTGAAAGGTCTCAGAACAATACGTACAGTGCTGTGCCCCCCCCCCCACACACACACACACTGTGATTTCTTATGTGGAACCTACTGAATTTACAAACTACCTAACATATAGTAAATAGCAAAAAAAACAAATCACATTTGCAACGTTTCTCTGTAAATAATTTTGGACTGCTGGAAGGTGTGGTGGGAAACTTGTCCTCCTCAAACCAGCACAATTTCCAGTGCATTAATGTACATTTTTCCTCATATACTTCAAGAGGTGAAGGAGGTGAAAAGCATTTTTCAGATGTCTAGTAGCCCACAGTAAAAAAGTAGCACAGAAATGTCCATAGGAAAAATATATTTTAAAAAAACAAATGGACATTGGAATACACTGGAAATGCACCTGAATGTGTTTGTGTGGCTATTTGGAAGCAAGGGTCCCCACCTACATTTAATGTTTTTGCACCATTCCATTCCAAATATGCTCAAGGTGGCTAACAATCCTTAAAATGTAAAATACATGACCAGAATTAAATAGATTCAGATAGGTGGTTGTGTTGATCTGAGGCAACAGAACACAGTTTGAGTCCAGTGGCGCCTTTAAGACCAACAAAGTTTAATTCGGGGTGTAAGCAAGAACTGAGTGACTTTGCATGTGTAGATGCACACTTCTTCAGATTCATTAAAAAACAGCCTTCCTCAAGCATTACATATAGGTGAAAGGCAGGGATTAGTTGCCAGAAAGGGCTAATTAGAGTCAAAATACATAAATAACTGAGCAATAAGTATAGCTAAAATTGGATTAATGCAGTTGGTAGGACCTATGGAGCTGCGGTGGCTCAAGTGGTTAAGACGCTGAACTGCAGGCTGTGGAAGGTCAGTAGTTCAGCAGTTCGAGACCCGGGTGCCGCATGATGGAGTGAGCTCCCATCTCTAGTTCCAGCTCCTGCCAACCTTGCAGTTCGAAAGTAAGAAATTGCACCTAGATAAATAGGTACCACTTCGGTGGGAAGGTAACAGCATTCCGTGCGCCTTGGTGTTTAGTCATGCCGGCCACATGACCACGGAAACGTCTTCGGACAGCGCTGGCTCTTCGGCTTTGAAACGGAGATGAGCACCGCAACCCTAGAGTCGGATTCGACTGGCTTTCGAGCAAGGGAACCTTTACCTTTTACCTTGAAGACCTATGGATAGCAGCAAATTAACATACAGATAGAAGAAGAGAAGAGATTGGATTTATACCCCGCCCTTCACTTGGAGTCTCAGAGCGGCTTACAAACTCCTTTCCCTTCCCCTCCCCACAACAGACACCCTGTGAGGTGGGTGGGGCTGAGAGAACTCTGACACAAACTGCTCTTTTTCAAGGACAGCTGTGCCAGAGCTTGTGACTGACCCAAGGTCGCATCAGCAGGTGCAAATGGAGGAGTGGGGAATCAAACCCGGTTCTCCCAGATTAGAGTCCGTACACTTAACCACTACACCAAACTGGCTCTGATAATGAAGAGTTAACAAACAAGTCAGCACACTTCTTCAGATACATTACAGCCTTCTTACAATCAAACCATTTCAGCCCCTTCCTCCCACTATCCAAAGGTTTTAAAGGGGGCCGTAGGCCTCAGCAGCAGAATACCTGCCTCGCATGCAGAAGACCCCAGGCTCTACTCCTGTCATTTCCAGTTAGAAAAGGATTTCAAGCAGTAAGCGCTGAGACCACGGTTGCCTATGCATCTGTTTCAAAAGACTTCAACTCTGTTTAGGGTTGCCAACCTCCAGGTGGGGCCTGAAGGTCTCCCAGAATTACAGGTGATCTCTAGAGAACAGAAATCAGTTCCCCTGGAGAAAATGGCTCCTGTGGAGGGTGGTATCCCACCTGAGGAATGCGATATCTCATAGACTCAGGGAGGTGTAACTCTGTTTAGGATTGCACTGCAACATATATCAGAGCACTTCCTTGATCTCCCTCAGCCCCAACTCTAGGTTATGCGAGAGACACTGACTTGCCCAAGCAAGACCATAGTGAGCCTTTATAGTTTGGTAGAGACTTTAATCTGGATTCCCCATGTCTAAACCTAGCTTTAGCCCAGGCCTGCACATCCTGTGACCCACAACACAAAATGCATCATAACAGATTTGCCAGCCCATTGGGTGGCAGATAAACCCAATTTTTTTCTATCTACCTGGCACTACAAAAATATCTATGTCACAATAACAGCTTGGCAGGCCATAATTTGCACTGGCTTGCTTTGTTTGTTTGTTTGTTTGTTTGTTTATGTTATTTATAGCCCACCTTTCTCACTTGGATTCAAGGTGGATTACAACAGAGTGAGTCAATGCCATCGACAGGATGGGACATTCAATGAACAATGCAATAAGAATTAGGGTTACAGAACCAACCAGAAGTCTAAACACAGAACTGAAGCAAAGCGTAAGTATTAACATGACACCTTAAATATACACCATTGAATAATTCAGTTTTGCATAATTTGTGGAAAGCCAGGAGAGTGGGAAGCTTCCTCACCTCCTCAGGCAGGCCATTCCACAAGGTGGGGGCCACTACCAAGAAGACACACATATGGGCAGTTGTTAAATTTGCCCATTTGTAGGTTGGCAGGCATCTACAGAAAACCTCGCTCAGAGGATTGAAGCTATTGTGGTGATGCATAGGGGGAGAGGCGGTCTTGCAGATATCAGGGTCCAAGGCCATAAAGGGCTTTGTATGTGATGTCCAATACCTTAAATTGAGCCCAGTAACTGATAAGCAGCTAGCGAAGTGCCTGCAGGATGTGGGTAATATGCGTGCCCCATTTAGCTCCCAATAACAGACAAGTTGTGGCATTTTGCACCAACTAGAGTTTCTGAATTGATTTTGAGGGGAGACCAATGTACAGTGCATTACAGTAGTCTAGTCTCAGTGTTACTATGGCATGGATCCAGGTGGCCAGATCAGCTGTATCAAGGTAAGGGGCCATCTTTCAGGTGATATGGCTGCTTTGGAAGGTGGGCTGCATGGCATTATACCCCACCAAGATCCTTCCCCTACTTAAACCCCACTCTCAGGTTTCCAGGTTTTTCCAAACCCAGAGTCAGCAACCCTATAGCAGGGCCATCTCTGTGTCCCATAGTCTGGCCTGAAGCCAGACTGAAGAAGCTGTAGAGCAGATGAGTTATCCACAGAGTTGGTCCATTACTGTTCTCTCAATCACTTTGCCAAGAAAGGGCAGGTCAGAGACTGGGCAATAGTTGGCCATTTCCTTTTTCTGCAGGAATGTTTTTCCAAGTAGGCAATGGATTACCGCATCTTTGAGTGGTCAAGGGAAGGTACCCTGTTGGGTACCCTGTTAGGGCACTTTCTCACACACTAAATAACACACTTTCAATCCACTTCGCAACTGGATTTTACTGTGTGAAATGACAAAATGGACTTGCAAACAGTTGTTGAAATGGACTGAAACTGCATTATTTAGCATGTGTGGAACACCATAATATACACTAAGGATTTGTTGATGTGGTCCTTACATGATTTTAGCAGCCAGGATAGGCAAAAGTCCAGGGTAAAAGTAGTGGCCTTCACCAATCCCAGAATCTTGTCAACATCCATCACAGAAACTTTAGTCACTCACTCTGTGTCAGAGTCTAGGTACAAGCCCCGTAAAAGCCAAGATTTAGTCCAGAAGGTCAGTTACCAGAGAGCAGAGTCCAATTCAGAGCATGGTCCAGAAATTAAGGTCTAGCATCCAAGGTCATACATAGGAGCAAGCAGGTCCAATATCCAAGTCCAAAGATCACTGGAGTAGCATCAAGAACTGTGATCACAGAATCCACCAGGTGGTAACTTGTTGCTTCCACACCAAGCAGTCTCCCTTGACTGGCTTTTACAGGCATCTGTTGCAAGGTCTTACTTGCAGCCAACTGCTTGCGAGTAGCCCTACAGCTACTCATCATCAGCAAGCAGCTGGCGTTGGGCCAGGAGATGTGGCTTTTTGTCTTCTCTCCTGGAGCTCCATTCTAAGTCTTCGTCCAGCATGGCTCTGGGCCCTTAGGAAAAGTCCCAGTCCCCTAGTCCCTGAGCTACCAGGACAGCTGGTGTTAAAATTCATTTGATGCACTAATGTTTGCAGGGCCAGCTTTCAGAGAATTAACATTGTAAACAAGTAGTTAATGTTCACCATTA